CCCTACGCCGGTGTTCGTTACGCGACGCGCGGGAAATTCAAACGCGTCAGAGGTCGCGCTTCGTTTATCTACGTGTACGAAAAGAGAATAAGCTCGACAGGGATTGGAATAACAATGGAACGCGTTTGGGTTAATAGAATTTCAATTTATTAAGTTTTTTCCCTAGCCGTCAGTGTCTTGATTCTCATTTACAAAGGTATTATATGACTGTAGTGGTAGTTTTAACTAATAATCGACGATGGTAGTAATCAATTAATAACCGTAATCGTAATCATCGTAATTATAAGAATAATCATAAGAATTACAGTAATGATAATTAATAATAATTCGTAATTAATATATTAAATCGAAATGGTATCTTATAATCGTCGTCTCTACCGTTTCTTGGCGCGTTATTTATGGTTGTTCCTCGCTCGTCCCTCCGCGGCGAGGCGGCGCTCGGCGTGAAAAACCAAAAGGAAAAAACAGAGAAAGAGAACGGAAATAAAGAGAGAGATGGAGAAAGCGAGAGAAGAGGAGAAACATCTTACATATTCACAACGATGTAAAAATGACCGGCTGCCAACGTAAAATTATTTATAATCGTAACCTGACTAGAAAATCAACTCCCTTACACTCTTAACACGGCGATACCGTACAATAATTCGTAGGCAAGGCCGGATCCAGCGGTAGTGGGGGAAAGGCGGGAATACTGGCGCATTCAAAATAGCCAACCGCAAAACGGAAAATACGATTCGTTGGCTGAACTAAATTTAATATCCATGTAACGAAGGGATTGTGTTACGTTTCTAACGTCTCGGCTGTGATACAGTGGCCGAGATTTAGAGGTTAGGTTACCGTCCCCACCGTTCACTCTTACGAATCTGGATCCGTCCCTGTTTCGTAGGCTATCGAGTTAAAGTTGTACACGTACATAGAAACATTCGTCGCACAACAAGCATGGAAACGTGATGGACGTCGCCGTGGAATTTTCCCAACGATTTTGGTAAATTAATACAGGTCGTTTCGTTATATATATATATATATTTTTTTTTTCTGCCCTTTGTTCTTCTTTCAACTAAATGCGATGATGACTCTTAGATAACGGAGGAACTGAGTGACATGGTGACTTCGAGGGGATAAAATGAATCTGGTGAGCCATCAGTGAGACGAGAAAAAAACAAAGCTGTGGGTATAGTAACTGCTTTTTATTCGTCCGGGCGACGCTCGAAACACGTTTTCTTATTTTTTTTCGTTTTCTTTTTTATCATATAGCATTCTGGATCCCAGGAATCCGAGATTTACACATAATGTTCGTTTACACTTCCTTTCTGCACCAAGCCTCAGTCCATGACCGACGTAAACACTCGAGATAATCGTTGCACGCGGTTACAATCGATTCCGCGACCAATAAGAAAGAATCGAGTCCAAGAATCGTTGCTCCGTTAACCCTTAATCGATTGAACCCTTTATAGGCTTAATTTACAACGATTAACGTTAGATTAGCGCTATATACCGGCTAGGCCCGGCTCTAAAGCCCGGCCCGAACTAGCACAGGACTAATAAGTCTGTGAGGTTAAGTTACCGCACTATAGTGAATTTCATCTGAACTAGGGTGAGTTAAGTTTCAGATTAGGCTAAGTCTATACCGCAATAGGATTAAGTTAGGCCTGAGTTAAGTCTTCGACACGTTTCAGTTACGTCTGAATGAAACTTAGGCTAGTGGTTTAAGTTTGGGATTAAGTTGAGCTAGGAACTATGGTCTATAGAGGGCCAACAAGAATTTTCAGTCAGTCAATCACCTCGGACAGCTCGATTGCTTTCGTATTGGTCAGCGGTCTGGTGATTACGTGGGTTCATCGTGAGCAATGGGTAGAAACGAGTTCAGTTCGGTCAGAGAACGTTTCGTTCGCTCGAGGAGACTCGATACTGGCGACTGAAGGAAGAATGTGGGGAAGGAGGAAGGACAAGACAGGTGGAAATGACGGGGGCGGCGTGAGGTTAGTGACATGACATCGTAAAATCGGTAGAAGGCCAGAAATACCCGGAACATGATCCTAGTGGCGCCATCTGATTCTCTATACTCGTTGATAAACCAAACTTAACCTAACTTATTTCACACGAACTTCACTCGCAACGGTTCCCTCAGTCGCTCCGCAAACGAGTATAAAGAGTCGTTCGTGCCATTGTAAACGGTCGCATTCACAGTTCCATGTAACCAAACTCATGTTTAAAAAGCAACAGAGGTTATACCATCTTTTTTTCCAACCAAACGTATCCCAATACGTTTGCCTAAACAGCAGAAATTTGAATGTATGGCAGTCGAAGGGTGATCAGTACACACTGGAAGAGCGAGATTCCACGTTTCCCGTTCGCACAGTCCAACTGAATTTATCGACGTCACATCACCAGGTAGCGTACACCTATATGCAGAGGGCGGCGTAGACGCAAGCACTCGATTTCGTCCCCTCCCAGTCGTGTCGGTCCGACGCCTGGTCTCTCTATCCGCCGCTCACGATTTCGATCGATGCGTACGAAAAACACCTGTGTCGCGTTGTGGTCATCGACAGCGACAAGTTTTAGTACATAGACGAGTTACAACGTTAGTAGAGCACGTGGTTAACAATTAGAAACTCGACGTCCACTCGACGCGTTGGCCGCCTGTACCCTGATCGGATGATCGAATGAACGAAGATGACGATGATAGTCCCGGCAGTGACGATCGCGCCAGCCACTAGCGCGTGTATCGAGACGGCAAACACTAGCAGCGGGTTCGCTTGATTCATCTGATTCGGTATGAGTACGTCTAGCACGCGCATGGCGGCGCTGCAGTCGCTCCGGTGGCCACGAGACATAACAACCGTGTGATCGCGGCTAGGTAAAAAGAGAGAGAGATTGGGTACGATACTCGGAACGATTTTAACGAAACGTCTAATCGACTTGGCCAACTTTTCTGCGGAATATTTTACTCGAAATCTGTCACTTATCAAAATCGGGAGACCCCTGTACAGAGGTGTCCGCGTGGGCACTTTTGTAGGTTATATTCTTGAGGTTAGGCCACGGAAGACTATGCAGACACCACCGATTGCACACGACGAAATCGAACGGAATAGTTACGAGATGATAACAATTAGTGCCAGTAGATAGTAACGGTAGTAACGTCTACGTGTTAGCACGGATTAAACTAGGCTGGCTGTAGATCCTCGTTAATCTCGTTTAATTTAAAAGCGCTTACTAGTTAGTCGTTGTGTAGTTAGTTACTTCGGTAATAAGTAATTAGGCGTTAACTAACAGTAGTCAGGAGTAACGTGGTAAACTGTTATTAATAATTAACACTATAAAAGAAGTCCTCCGGCAGATCTCCCGTTGTTTCTCAACTATTTCCTCTTCCTTTTATAGTCCATTTAGAGCTCCTGCTTCCTCTTCTTCGTCAACTTTCTTCCCACTGAAGGTAGATCCAACTGCGTCCCGTCTTTTCGCACTTGTCGATACTCCGTGTCATTTTTTTGTCGTTTTCTTGTTTCTTTTCTCGGGCTTTCGAGTCTATCCAAAAGTATGAAGAGCAACGAGTGAACGCTATACAATTAGATCCGCTATGGCACGCGACATTGGCTCTGTTTATCGCCGCCCTGCTTTCGGGTATCTACCTACCGACCTACTTATCCTACCTACCTCGTTACCTGTCTTGGCTATCTTGTCTAATCGAACGAAGAACAACGCGCGGATGATGGCGGACGAATGCCACGTTGCCAGACCTACTGTCAATTCCTTGGGAGGGGGCCCATGATTACATCATGGCGCCCGAAGCTGCGAGTTCAAATTCTCCGGGTCTATTCTTTGGAATTGGGTACGTCAAAACTGTTCTATAAAATACAGATTTAAAGGATTAGGCCAAGCCGACTTCGTAGCCCTCCATCACATGGAGGTCAGATATAAAAGATAGGGTTCCGCTACCTGTGGGTAGTCTAGACCAGGGTTCTAGCTAACCTAATGAAACAAACGGGAGGGGAATTTAGCGAGACTGTTACTGCGATCTTGACAGGCCCTGGAACTCAGAATTCGTGATTACCAAGCGGGACTTTCTCTGTAGAACGATCTTAGACGATGGTATGAAAGTGCGATCACCGGAACGAAAGCTGGCAACGGGGCATCCTACTCGTCTCCTCTCCTCTTCCGGCCGCGCAACGTTACACCTAAGGCAGTACACCTCGAGTAATTAGTATCGCCTCTAATTCTTGACGATTTTCGATTTTTCTTTTTTCTTTTTTTTTTTTATTTTTCTTCCTCCTCCTCTTCTTCTTTTGTGCCGAACGCGTTTCCGCTTATGTGTGTATAATTAGACTCGTCCTTCCCCGTATACTCCCCGTTCCTCGATATTAATTCGTCGTAAATGCTTAACACGATTATTTATCGATAATACAATAGGTAATACGATTCTATTTATTTATCAATTAATTGTATGCTAGTTTACGATACGACGCGCCGATCTCTTCGTCCCGTTTTCCTCGTCCAAGTTCTGACAAACGTTGCGAAGAGAACGAGAGAGAGAGAGAGAGAGAGAGAGAGAAAGAGAGAGAGAGAGTATGTAATTTATATAACGACTCAGAGAGAGAGAGAGAATAGAGAGAGAGAGAGAGAGAGAGAGAGAAAGAGAGAGAGAGGAAATTCGACGTTGGTGTTGATTTTGGAAAATTTCACACAGCAGTTAATGATTAATTTCGATGGAAATCATTCGAGACCGATTCCTTCTCTCTCGTCATCATTCGTCATCGTTATCATCATCGTCCCTTCGTCGCTCGTTATGAAACTCATGTCGCACATTGTTGTTGCTCCTGGTGTCTTGTCAGGTTGTTCATTCGTTTGTTAAATAATCGCACGGCGAGTAGCCACGGTTGTATATGAGTGTGTATATACGCATGTGTGTGTTTGTGTGTATGTGTGCGTGTGTGTATGTATAATACGCCCTGCTAATATCGGTGGTCACTCCAACACGTTACGCACCTTATATACAATCGGAGGAACGCAGCGTGTTCATCGATCAGTGTCTCGACGACGGTGATTAATTTCCAATTTTCCTCCACCCGATGCACGCTTCTCCGTTCATTTATGCGCGTGTGTATGTGCAGCGCGTGCATACACACGTACGAAGTGCACGCGGCTCGTCACCGATCCCTTTCGTGCCTCTTTTCAATCCCGCGATGGTGAATCGCGTGTGTTCGCGTAGAAAAATGTCGCAACGAGTCCGTTGCCGCTTCGTACGCATGCGCGGTGACACGGCGTCGCGTGACTGGCCGCCATCTTGTGTCGCGAAACGTAACGCAAAATGTCCGCTCCCCGCACCGATTCACCGATTTACCGGCCAAAATCTCACCGATCGAAAGCATTCCGTGGAATTTCGTTGAAGATCCGCCCTAAGGGAACGTGAAGTATTTCATTTTTATCAAAGAACGACGAAAATGCGGAACGATAAGCGACAGCCACGCGACCCTCGTGAACTTTCGTATCGCGTTAATGAAAATCCGCCGTTAAACGTGGAGCAGCACTGATTCCGCGCGACTAATAGGAGTTCCCTTTACAAATTAAGCCGTTACCGTTACGTTATTGCACATTGAATAAACGATTACGAATGCACGTTATACAAGTCCCTCTCAGCACGCTCTATTTCGCCAGGAGTTGATCGTTAATTGATTAATTTGTCCGAGCGCTTCACTGTTTATCTCATTCGTATATGTATACATACATGTGTATCTGTGTTTGTGTGTGTGCGCGTGTGCGTGTGTGTATCCATTCGTTTATTTTAATTATTTATTTATCCATCCGTTTCTTGCTCCTTTAATTACTTATTTATCCACATTTCTCTTTGTTCGTTTATTTATTTATTTATATATTTATATATATATTTATATTTATATGTTTCTCTCATTTTAATGCCTACTTATTGTTAATCAAGGAGGAATGTAGTCATAGTGGTCGCGTCGGGTTGAGCGAGATAAAGAATCGTTCGAGCGAGCCGGCACGTTCATCGTCCGGTGTACAACTAATAATTGAACAGGAGACCCAATTGCACCGGTGACCGGTTGAACGTGTACCAGATTCTACCTGAAAACATTTGCCCGCGTCGAACCGTACGAACATAACCTCAAACTCGCTAATTAACCTGAGCTTCCCGCTTCATCCTGACATCGGGAACCTAACCTAAAAACCTTCTACCAGACCTCCGAACGGATTCACGAGTTTACCTTGTGTATGGCGGCGATAAGCAGGTGTCATCGAACGATAATTTCTGTCAAACGAGTCGGTAATTTTTTAATGGAAACAAATAAACGAACACGGGTAAACGTTCAACGGTCACCGCGCAAGCGGAACCCGAGGGCCAATGGCTGCTGAGTCCTCGGAGGCACAGGTTACGCGCTCTATGACTCGACACATGTGGATCAGGCATAAACCAGTCAGCGTTTCGGAACCAGAGAAACTGAACCGGCCTGTGATCGACTGTCTCTCTCTCTCGAGGTCTCCACGAGAATCGAAATCTCTGCGTTACCCTAATACATAACGATGACCCTTAAACGTTAACGTTTCAAGCGTAAAGACTATACGTTTTTTATCCACTTTTTTTTTTTTAATCTATTAATCGTCTCCGTTTTCACCGAGAAACACGTGTTCTACAATGTCCGCGCGATAGCATTATCGTCGCTCGGTTTATATAGCACGATTACCTATATTGTCACGAGATATGATCCATCGTAGAGTACTCTTTTTATTCCTGTGTATGTACGTGTATGTGTACCATTTTCTTTCCTTTTTTACTCTCTTACAATTGACAAGATCGATCTCGATTCGCGTCACTCTATAAATAGAATCGTCAATGTTTCTCGCGTGATCCGTATATCGAATATACATCACGTATATATATATATTTATATATATAATATACATATATATATAAATTTGTATATATTAATAAGTATATTACGGAATTCTCCTATGTATAACGCTGTTCGATTTTTTCCCTTCGCCCATCTCGTCGGGATATTCAATTCCTTACGATAAATTACTAACTCCTATCGTTTTAATTTTTATCCCTTATTTCCTCGTCTCGCCATTAAGACAGGGGACTGAAATTATACGGTGAGGCTCCCGTTGGCGAAGCGACGACAAATGTACTCTCTCTCTTTTTTTTCTTTTTCGTTTCCCCTTTGTAACTTGTATAAGGCCCAAATATTGTGCGCTACCTGTTCAACATGGAAATTACGCCGAAAAAAGGAATCGCGAAAGCGTGCGATCGGTGCTGCTTCGTTAGAGAACGCCTCGGAGGACACCGCGCGTCGCGGGCTCAGTTTCTCGATTCTCTGTCACTCGTGTGTTATGCTTGACCCAGCGCCAACCGCGAGGAAAGATGCTTCGGCCGATCGACAACCAGCGACAACGACGGACCCGCCCTCTGTCGTCAATCACCTTCGGGGACGAAAAGACCAGAAGGGAAAAAAAGACAAAAAAAAAAAAGGAACTGAGCAGAGGGAAGGTGAAATCCGCCATTATTACAGAAGCTTGGGCATTGTGCTGTTGGCAGGCTCGCGTTTTTGGCACACCTAACTTTCCCCGCGAACGGTCGACCATAATCCTCGCTGAACACCGTGTCCTCGAAGCATCGAACTTGACAGACCTAACCTAGATCCAGCCTCGAGTATCGATAATCCCTGCCACGATCTGTCACGAATTCCGGTCGGACAAGCACAGACTATGGACGATAAGACATCCCACGATCCAACGGTACCCAGCGATCCCTGGAAGCTGCAGAAGGATCGATCTTGCCGAAGAAACTAATGTCGTCTTCGTTGTCCATAATGATCGGCAGATGGAAGGATCCGAACGGACTGGCCCATGATTCGTCTCGTGGTCGCGTTCCTCTTGTACAATGCACTCGCTTCCCTCGACGACACCCTCAATTAGACGATCAGGTGACTATAGAGAACGCTTCTCCGCTCGCTCCTACATCGGGCCGCGGCCCAGTTCCCGTGCTACACCCCCTGGAATGCCTTGCCAGTGTTCATTTCTGTCTCTTCTAGCTGTCCACGCAAGCGTCAGCCTCAGGTAGCGCCACTGTCGCGCGCCACGGACTCCCCGGCGTCGCTGCGCCGGTGGCGCCCTCCTGTCGATGACGGTTGACGGTAACTGCTGGCGACCACGCTTTCGCTGATGGCGCTGCTGCTGCTGCTGCTACTGGTCGAGACGCTGTCCGCTTCGGGGTCGAGGCTCGCGCCAGAGGGCACCAGCATCGCGAGAGGCGACGAGGACGACGAAGGTGACGACGAGGATGAGGAGGAGGAGGTAATGGAGGACGCGTTGCCACGCTGACGCAGGCTTCCGAGAGCGTTGTTGGGCGCCTTGGCCCGTTGACGTCGCGACGCAGACGTTTGCGATTTGGCTTCGTACTGGACCGAAGCCTTGGTCGTCGTCGTCGACGACGTCGACGCGGGTGTAGCGCGTTCAGGCGTCGACGACGACGTTGTCGCTGCTCCAGGGGCCAGCTGGTACCTGGCTGTCGGTATGACTTGCTGTTGCTTTTGCTGTGCTTGCATTCTGACGCGGCGGTCGTCCCTCTGTTGCTGGGATGGTTTTGGCAGGTTGTTCTGCAAGCTCCAGTGACCTTTCCTGATGTTGGACCCATCGGCGGCGACGTTGTTGGCGGATGAGGAAGAAGACGAGGCCGACAGGAGGTAGGCGCTGGTGACTGGCATTGCACCAGCTGGGGAGGAAGCGGTAACCGCTGATAGAGTTGCTTCCGGTGCACTGTCAGCCATCGGTGGCCCCGCAGGGCCCTGTAGACCGCGTACGACAGGCTCAGGAACAACGACTGGAGGACGTTGCTGCTGCTCGTTGCTGCCCAGATCGCCAGCGCAGCCGTAATCGTAGCTGCAGCATAGCTGCCCGTCCTACGGAGAGGTTCGTTGGACACTGGGTTAGCCACCGGCGGAACGAACGGGACCAAGCGACTGTGTCATGTTCGCCTGACTTTCGCCCTCTTCCGTTTCTTTTTTATATTTATTTCCTTTCTTTTTTTTTCTTTTCTTTTTTTCTTTTTGACTCTTTTTTTCTTTTTTTTAGCGGAATCTCAATGCGGGTACTCCCCTGACCGCGCGAAAAGTCTTGGTACGCGCGTGCGTGCTGCCATCTGTCGGGTGCGCGGTGCGGTATGGACGAAGCGGGAAATTCAAACCGGGCAACTATGATCGGGGAACCTAGCGATCGTGGTAGGTACGGTTTCGCTTGTTTTTTTTTGCGGATTTCATAATAATAATAACTTCGTATGTTTGGAGGATGAAGTTGAAACCTGCCAAGGACAAAAACGGTGCATTCCTCTCTGCGTGAAACTTGTTCGTATTCGTATATGAACGTGCACGACTACGGTACGATGTTGACAAGTTTGGTTGCTACAGCGAATTTATGATCCCGATACGCGTCGATCTTTCGTGAGGAAGCGTGTGAAGAAAGGATCCGCGTTCTCAGGTCTTCGCGGATGTTCTAGCCAGCCCGGTCGACTCACAACGTTGGTCCAAGACTTTTCGCGTCGCGGGGATACTCAGGTAATCCTCCACATAATATGTAATTCATTGTTTCATGAGAACTGCGGCGTCCCGTCGTGGAGAAAATCCGCGTCTTCCATTAGCCGATGACCCAGGTTCGACGCCCCTTCCTCTCGGTCGGTAAAAATGTTGCTTTCACGAGCACAAATTACAAGAACTCGACTCATCACAATCATGCTCTGACATTCGGGGGACAAAACAATGAATTTCCATAGTATGTATCTGACACCTTAACGACACCGTGTCTAGGTTATCACTACTTTCACCCACGATTCTGGCAGACCGATTTAATCTTCGAATTCTTCACTTGCAATTACGAAATTTGAAAAGAGAAAAGCTAATTATTATTATTTCCATCAATTTCGTACCATTAAATATGAACAATTGTTAAAAAGAATTTGTTTGAACTCGTTCGAGAATGATTTTATAGGTTATGTCGTATAAAATTTATAGGTTAGGTACATCTTATTTGTCGTATTTTCGACCGTGTACCATGAAATTCTATTATCGTTGACTTTTTCCGTATGAAAATTTCATTTTATTTCCATTCTGAAATTTTTCTGCCAGAATCATAGCTGAATAATACTCGATAAACAGAGAGAAAGAGACTCTTGGTGCTTCTATCGAATCTCGAATGCAGATCAGAGGAGGGTGCAAAAGAGGCTCAAGTGTAACGAAACCATAATAACAATAAGAATAACAATAATAATAACAATAATAATAAGAAAGAAAGACAAAAGAACGGATCAAAATGCAATTTGTGTGTGTATGTATGTGTGTACGTGTGCGTGTGTCTGTCACCACGTGCGTCGTGCGCCCCGACCGATACCAAATATTTAGAAAACTCGAAATATTCTTTTTTTTCTTCTCCAATTCAACGAAAGTGCATCTTCGAATGTGCGTTTTTGAATCAAGTGACACGTCAACTGAATTGTTTAGTCGGAAAAAGAGCCGTGGGGTGAGTCGGTGCATGCGAATCATTGTAAACGTGCATTTAGTCATTGTAATTAAAGTGAAGGATCTTACGTTTCTTGATCGAACGATCGACGAAAAAGAAAATCAATGTTCAAATAATAATAACAAATTTAAACCATATATTTCGAATAGTAGAACATTATAATCGAGGAATATCGAATTCAAAAATAGCGACAAAATGTCACATCGTTATTTCGACAATATATCTCTAGGGAACAAAATAATTACCGTCCATCTTCTTTGCGATAAAAAAAAAAAATTAAATAACCCATTTGTCAATTTCCTAATGTTGACTAGTCATTTTTAGAGGCATTCTTTAAAATTAAAAAATTCTTGCAAGAAACAATCGTCTTCGGATCGATCAAGATCATAGTTCTTAATACGAAACATGCGACGTGCTCGCGATTCACCCTTAGAATTAGCACCCTCTTGCTGGGCTGTTGCCATCAGTCTATGCCACACGCTCTCCAAGGAGTCGTATAATCGTATCGACCCCTGTCATATTCGATTTTCTAAATATATCAATACTTCACCGATCCAAATTACAAAAATTCCCGAATTAAAAATCACCAAGAAAATAATAACTGCACCGAATTATTTTTCCAGTGTCCATTTTCGGACCAACTCTACGAACACGTGGCACAGACGACGAGTGGGCGCAACCCGGGGCAAGAATAGGGTGGAAAGACTTCAAGCCTGGTGACCAGCGTGCGGCGATCAACGAACGCAAGAGACCTCTACGAACGGATGAACGGAGGAACACGCAGGTAACTCCCTCTAGTGGGTTCTAGACGAACGTTACAACACAGAAAGTAAAGTCGAAAGGTGGGGGCTGAGACGAGAAGCAGCGGGTAGCGTGGGAGTTGGACGAAGGGGGGTACCAAAAGTGCTACCGGAGAAAGCAGGCAGGAGGGGGACGAAAGCATTCGAGCTCGTGGATGCTAAAACGAGTGGCAAGTAAAACAGAGAGAAAGACGTTAATAATAAATAAAAAAAAGAAGAAGAAGAGGCGGGTAGAGAAGATTATAGGTGAGGTAGAAGTGACGTGATTACCGATGCACACAACACGCGCTATTGCTCACCAATTGGGCGCAGTACGGCACCTGCAAGGATACCCATCGTTAGGCTAGTCAGGTTAGTCATTCACGGCCGATGTGTGTACGTATGTATGAAATGGCATGGAAATAAGAATTTCGCAGCATGATTACACAGCACACGTTTCGCTCTTTCGATGTTAATTGGTAATCTGTTTAACACATCAGCCCATCTCTCCTCGTCGATTCATTCCAGGCGTCGCGAGTAACCTAACCTAACTTTCATGTCGTTTCTCCGTGGATCGTTCTCTATGCAAGCCGATTCTGCGCGCGAGATAAGTATATCCTCTTTCTTTTTTTCTTTTTACATCGTTTCGTCGAAACTTACGACAGTTATGTTTGCTTATCTACGAATTTTTAAGGTTAAGGCGGATTCTAATGAATCGACGAGGTTGAGGTCATGCTACACGTTCCTGTCGCAACAAGGTCGGATCCACTCTCGATTAGACGTTATCAAAACACGATCCATGCAGGGCCGACCCGAAGCAGTGAAAGTCTTTAACACGAGTCTCATGGAAACTGGACAAAAGTTGATCAGAGCTTTACGTCTTGCGCACGCACGATTCTGGTTACTTCTCGCGGCAGTGTTCAATTGGCGGGAAATTCGAAAGGGACCACCGTTCAGGTCTAACGCCAGCTAACGGTTTATTCGACGATAATTTTCCTTTTCGTTAAAGCATCTTGACAATTGATCCATAGAGTGAGCATGGGTCGAAAAAAAAAGAAAAAAATTATACGGTCGGTCAAATCAACTACGTGTCACTACAGAAAATAATAACGATAACAACGATAACAGTAATAATAACGACCTTCGTCTCTACGTTAGGTACAGCACGTGATTACTCTGATCATTGGATAGACATGCATAGTAAATACATATATGTATATACGGTGCCGAATCAGGAATCTCGTCTTTCTCACATAAGGTGAAAGACTATGGTAATAATAATGAACACTGCCGCGTGCAAGGCAGCCAACGAAAAACATTACACATAAGAATAGTCTAGGCTAACTTAGGGACGCCCCTGAACGTGTCTCGTACGCTGGTATTGCAAAGAACAGATAGCTCGAATTGAAGTAATTTACAAGTGGTGAATATAGCGTCAGATATTTCGCATAATGACAAGACTAGCACGACGCAATGGTAGCTCACGCCAAGAGAACGTATTACCAAATAATTGAAACGAGACTTCGTTGAGTCTTTGAAGTAGGGCGTGATTCTATATGCATATAGGTTAGGTTAGACACGAGTTAGGCTAGACTAGAGTCGAATCGACGCTCGATGGACCTAATTGATAGCGTCGGATAGATTGAAATTAGGTTATGTACTCTACGCTCAACTGTAGTCTAGGCTAATTCCAATCTAGACCCGAATCAAATTCGACTAGGTGTTGAGGTTAGGCTATGTCTGAACTAATTATACATAAGTTTCTGTTGGATTCGGTCTAACGATATACTGGACTAGTCTAAGCAGTCTCGTATAAGCTAGGATTAAGTCAAGGACTAAGACAAAAGTGAGGTTACGGGGCTCTCGATGTCATTGGCTATGTACTTCAAAGACTGCGAACGAAGATTCACGACCGCGATTTTTCTCTCGGCGTATGAAAGAGCAAGTTTTTTTAGCGCAGATAGCCTTGCAAAAAGTTGACTCGCGTTATACACACCGCAAAAAATAAATGGCATACTAGAAACAAATGATAGTCAGTATATAGGCACCTTGTATTATACGAGGGTTACCAACTGACACGCTGACAAATGATAGCGAATATAGACGAAAATAGAGAGAAAAAAGAGCGAGAAAACAAGGTATATTCATATGCTGATGTGTGTGACTTTAATCAAACACGTGGCGGATAATTTATTGCAGAAGCGACGAGTATAGTGACATAAATATATCTTTGACTTTCAGTCATTTAAACAACACATAAAATCCGGATTAACGAGGACTATACGAATTTTCTTTTAAATGCTTTATACAGGAAGATTATTTAAAAATTGGCAGTAAGTACAACACCATTGTGTCATGACACAAACTCAGAATGTTAATAGCAGAGTATATTCGTTTCTCAAAGAATTGCATAAATATATTTACAGTTATTCAATGATTTGCACGTGTGTTAAGTTAGTAACATCGATGCTGCTGATTTTCCATGCAAAACGCAAGCAATTCAACGTCCGAATTCATTGCGATCGAAGCACGTGTGAATAGAAGAACGAAGAACGAAAGAAAGACTGTTAAGTACAATGTTAATCCGCCACGTGTGTTATGTACACTAATGTTTTCTGAATGGTCGCCTGCCGCACAGCAACTGGTCGTACCTCGTCGGAACATAGCGAACGCAACTGATTAGACGCATGACAGATCCACGGCTAAATGAAGGCGATATTTAGTTTTTTGTTTATTTACTGACCTTGAGCTCTTGATTTCGCGCGAAAAGAGAGCGCGATAAGAAGAAACTTCTGGCCAAGACGTTACTGAAATGCACAGTGGCGCCATCTACGCAGCGCCATCTGTACAGACCCCATATGAGTCTCGGTAAACAACATTTTACAAGCCTCTGTTCGATGTACAAAAGGACCAAGGAAAAGAGGCATCGCGAGACAATGTTTGAGAAGGTAAATGACAATGAAAATTGACAGATTGACAAGCTATCGTACAGGCCACAGCTTCTTCGCTACGATTCGCAGCTCCCTTCCCTCACGAACCCCCCTATTCTATCCGTATCCTGCGAGACCGACGATTCTTCGGTCCCACGACGTGACCGAGGCCGGACGTCCTCCTTACCTTGCACTCGCACGTGGTGCACTTGTCATGGGGGTCCTGCCAGGAGCTGCCGCTGTCGTGAATAATCCCGGAGTAGCTGCAGGGTCGCGGCCTGGTCAGTACCGAGAGAGAGGTACCATTTCCAGGCATCTCTCTTGCACAGGGATCGTCCTCGCAACGAGGACAACAGTCCCCGTCCTCTGTCACGGGGTTCGAGCAGGTCACCGGTGGACATTCCATCTGCCAGCAGTCTATTTCGCCGTACTGAAACAAACCGTGTGATAACATCATTAGGAATATCAATTAAACTTCATAACCGAGGTTAACTAAAGGTCTAAGTAATCTTAGATAGAGTAGTTGCTCTATACGAGATTGCAAAGTGCTGTTGTTTAAGAAAAGATGGGTTATCTTTGAGGTTATCGGCCATTACCAGGCATTCGCAAGTCTGACACTGGTATATCCATCGTTCGCCACTTCTGAAGACTAGGTGATGAAGTTCTTGGTGCCTACAGGAGGCCGCGGGGTCGCACTGAGGGCAGCACTTGTCCCTGTGACTCCCAGGGGCGCTGCAATCGCAGATAGGATCTCTGCACGTGACGACGCCATCTTTGCAAGTGCATCTCCGACAGGGATTCCCCGCCGGTGCCAGAGTCTCTCCGTTCTTCACTTCTCGATTCTCGAACCAACAACCTGCGAAGGATACCAACATTTCTTACTTCGTTTCTCCGAATAATCCACGAACCATAGAGACTTATCAGCGGAAAATTCCCTAGATAGTTACACGGAAGTCACACTTACTCAGCCTACATTCCTCCATGGTACGATTGTCTTCTCGAGGTGGACAGACGCACTCGTAACCACCTTCGGTGTTGACACACTTGGCACTGGGATGACAGGTGTGCCTCCTCTCTATCGTTTGGTCGTTGCACTCGTCGATGTCAAGACACTGGGTACCCTGAGTGCTATCGTGGAGAGCGCTTCTGTAGCCCGGCTTGCAGCGGCAGTAGTACCAACCGGGCATGTTGAAACAGGTGGACGACTGGTGGCACCGATGCAAATCACTCGCGCACTCGTCCAGGTCTAGCTCGCAACTGTTGCCAATGTAGCCACGTCGACAGGAACACCTTCCCGGCGCCACACACTCGCCGCCATTTTGACAAGTCTGATTGCAGACAGCTGAAGAGAGCAAAGAAGACATCCTCGGATTTAAAACGACTTCGAGATAACATTGGAACGAGATGAAGAAGATATTACGAGACCAACGTACGTTTGCACGTGTAACCGTCGCCAGTGTAGCCATCCTTGCAAATGCAATAGTAACTACCCGCGGTGTTCACGCAGGTGGCGTGCTCGTCGCACGCGTGATGTCCAGTCGCACATTCATCTAGCTCTGCACAGTTGAACTTGTCCACTCTGTGGTAGCCCGGAAGACACTCACACGTGTAAGAGCCGATCACGTTCACGCATTTCGTGTTCGCGTTACAGTGATGTCCCTCGGAGCCACCTTGCTGCTTACACTCATCTACATCTGTGATCAACATACTCGTTTAATCCCTGTAATTCATCTGGACCTTCAGATGACTCCGAAGAACGGACTATAGGTCATGAAGGAATTTCGCTCTATTCGGAGTCACTTGAAGCTCGAGACACGCGTTCTACTCGAGCGAAAGTGACAACGATATCCTCCAAGGTGCAAACGGATGACCTTGGAGTAGACATTTTCATCTTGGAACTGCAGTGACAGAATTACAGAATTACAGCGACATTACAACGACCAGCTGTCATAAAATTCTCGTTTCAAATTCGTTCGACTATCATCACGAATGTGGAAAAAGCCATGTCAGAGAATGGACGTAAAGTCGATTCCAATCTAAATATCAGAGAGACACTGTCATGGCACCGCAATTCTGTAACCGCAATCGCCGACGATCTGGCTGTTCGACACGACCGTGGGCAAAGCCACGAGCAAACAAACAAACGTCACATGGGCCACGTGTATGCCAACATAGATCTGCATATTTCATGGCGGTGAATCGATCAATGGAAACGTCCCGATCGACCCGCCATCTCGACGAGCTCGATCGAACCGTAGGTTGTTAAACTGCGTCGCGGAAGAAAGAGACAGAGGAAGAGAAAGAGAGAGTGAGAGAGAGACACACAGAGAGCAAAGTTAGAGAAGCATTAGGTACCGTGACAGTTATGACCGTCCCCTTGGAAACCGATATCGCAGTGGCAGGCGTACGTTGTCTGCAGGTTCAGGCAGGACGCGTTAGCGTGACACTTGTGGCCCTTCGCGCAGTAGTCCACCCCTGGTTAAATTGGGTTAGCCAGGCGGATGCAGAGACAGTTAGAACATTCGATTATTGGCGTTGGATCAGACGGTTAGTGTCGTTTTCGTATACTTTTCGACCTTGGGTTTTAGTTTGATCGCCTGTCATGCCATTCCACGTGCTTTTACAGCGAAATGGTTATTACACGGCAGTAGCAGAGAATAGGGATTTTCGTCTAGGGACTTTCCGATGTAACGTCGATACTATTAGAATGGCATGCATAGCTCTTTCTATTGTTATTTCGCAGAACTTGGCAAATGAAAGTTGAATTATAATATCGAGTACAACACTTGGCAAAATTTTAATATAGATATTAATTTTATACTAACTGTATGCTATATCCGATACATTATAAACAGTATATAAATAAATATGAAAAATAAATAGTTCGAGGCAATTCGATATAGGTTAGGTTGATCTACGTGGTTTTCGACGTAGTCTATGTTTTTGCCACGGGTTGTATGACCGATAGGTTAATCACGTGATACGCAGATTGACGTATTATAAATGGCTCTAATCGGAGTATGGAGGAAATAAAGAATGACACTATGCTAATCAAACGTCATCCTCGTCTGACAAACATCATCCCGGTTTACTATGAATTGGGCGTTGATAATTTGCTTTAAACATCGTAGCATGTTGATCAGGGTGACGAATATGATGAAATAATTGGCGATTCGAAATATACCGGTGAAAATGACCGTACCTGGACAGAACTTGCAGCATTCCTCGGCCACGCTGATCTGCTCGCTCGGTGGACAGGGCAGCGGCGGACATCTTGTTTCTGTGTCGAACCTCTGACAGGTGAAGCTGCCGTCGAAACAGTCGCACTCTACGCACTGTTTCGGCGAGACTTTCTCACCGTGATCGTAAATCACTCCGTGCAGATAACATTGCACTGGAGGCAATTATTGATCACAGAACGTTAATAAATAATATATTAAAAAAAAATTGAAAGCTGCTCTGAAGCTATAATGTTCCAAAAATGTTTCAATTTAAACGATTCGCTGGACAACAACGTTCTACGAACGTGATATACGAGCAAAGAGGAAAAATGAATACACTTTGGTATTGTGATTCTGAATCGAACGGTAGTTCAGTACTCACTTAGGCAGATGGGACAGCACTGTCCCTTAGGAATGACGGGATTCTTGCAGGTGACGGGAGCGCAGGGTGTCGGCCTGCACTCGATCTCCCCATGAACACAGGAACACTGTTGGCAATCTTTCTCCCAGGTCGCACCATCCTCGTGGACGGTGCCGTTTGCCCTGCATGACTTTTGGCACTCGCACTCCTCCACTTTGCTTATCCTGCCCTCTGCAGCGGCTAGCTAAAAGGAAGGACGTGAATGAGCGAAGACCAGCCACGTCTAAAAAGCAAGAAAATCAAGCCACGAAGTAATCCCGACTATGATGGAACGGTCTACTTAGTAGATACACGTGCCACCAGAGGGCAGAGCGTTGTTATAACAAGTACTGTCCATTGACGAGATGGCTAATGGCCGGGATGCTGGACCTAATTGATCACTGTAAACGGTCCATCTTCTCTGCAAACATATTTACACAACCATAAGTGTAGGGTACACGAATTCTCATGATTCAAATGTGATCACACAAAATCGAATGTATCGACGTGTAGTCATAGTTAACTGACAATGGAGTCGACGGAGTCGGGTGCTAGCCATCTTCTCATCATAGGACAGTACTGTTATTGCTACCGTGATCCGAATCGACACGATGTTAAAGATAATAACATGACGACATCTAGTATCCGAAGTAATCCTTCGTTCTAAGTGCCTAACACTACTCACCCTACGCGTCAGCTCGTTGAGGTTATGCATCAACTGTTCCACGGTGTTTTGTAATATAGAAAATTGACCGCAAGTGGGACAAGAAGAATCGAGCTGGGGACACTGGGAAAGGTAGCCATGGGGGCCTGGTATCAGCTTCACATCCTGCAAAGCACCCTGTGGCGCGACAATCGTACGAACTTATCTCAGTTGATTGAAATTTCGAGGTCTTAGGAAATTAGAATTACTCTCGTGTTTATCGAGGTGATAATTAAAACCGGGCCGAGGGGGTGCTGGGCAACGGGGATTAAGAAAAGGAGGTCGTACCTTGAAGAGAAAGTGCCTGACGTTCCTCTGCCCAACCCAGAGCTGAAGCTGTGGCAGAGTGAAATTGGTGTCAGGTGGTCCAGGCCTAAGCAGCCGCCTGTACAAGGGATGACAGTCGACGAGCAGCTCGACCTGCGAGCCGCTTACGCTCAGGGCGACCCTGTGCCAGGCGCCGTCGGCCAGACGGAAAGGAAACGCCTCCACATGGACGCTGCCGTCCCGGCGTGATACGTAGTGAAGTCGAAGCTCGTCCTTACGGCCGCTGCTCTGCAGCTCCAAATATCTACGAGTCGACAGAAGATATTCCGAGTCACTCGAGTTACTTCAACGTAGCCATCTTGGACCCCTGCATCTTTAAATTACCACTTGGGCTGATTCGAAATAAATTTTCACTAATGTACCCTGTTTTTCTGCAGTTATAGGTTAGATTTACAGTGAGCGTGGATATAATTTCGTTGGACATTGCTAAGGTTATGATATTAAATCTTTGTTACTAGGAATTCACTATATTCTAGTAGCATGATAATATAGTATGTATAGCACTGGTTACATAACTGTTTAGGTTATGTTTAGATCCAGCGTCGATATAATTAGAATCAAAGTGAACTAGGGTTTTGAGATTGCGAGGTTTCTGTCGCTAGGGACTTACTAGACACTAGTTACTTGATCGGGAATTATAAAAACTCCCTGTTGTTCTGGTATCTTGCATTTAATTTTTATTACTACAAATTCCCTATATACTGACAGTATGGTACTGACTACATAAAGATATAGGTTATGTTTAGATCGAGTGTTATTATTATTAGAGGCAGAGTGTACTAGGGTTATGAGACCGCGAGGTTTCTGTTACTAGGGATTTACTAGATACTAGTTACTTGATTGGAAATTATAAAGACACTCTATTGTTTCGATATTTGGGCCTTTATTTGGGTTAAATTTCGATCAAACGTTCATAATTTGATCGGTGTTAGAGATGAAGTCACTATCACTAGGAATTTCCCAGGCATTGCTTACTCGATCGCGCGAAATTGTTTAATGGCAATCTAACGGTCCAAGTGACTCGATAACGCAGTTGCAGAATGTGGTACACGAACCGTGTCCGTGGGTCGATTAAAACCAGTTTCAGCCTCTTAATTAAAACGTGTATATGGAATTAAATAGATTACGTGATCGAATCAGGAGGGAGTTGATGGCGTGTGTGTATCGCAATTTCCGCTCCACGCTTATCATCTATCACGGTCCCTAATGTGGAACACATCGGAATCTCCCTAATAATAAAACTGACATCCCAATTCTTCTCTTCTCGGCGTCTACCACTTTTAATAAAATTCTAACCTTACCTTATCAACTAATGGACGAATGCGAATAAAATATCACAGCAGCAGGATACCTTGACCTAGACAGACTTATACACTGACCAAGAATCGATCAGAGGCCTGGTCTAACCTCCATGCAGCGAAAATCCCTAGATCCGATTGCACAATTCGGTGTAGGGCCGCGCCGAATCAACATTTAATTCCACTTAAACTCGGACAGTGGTTTCTGCTTCGCGAAGCGTGTTAATTACTGCCTAAATACGCGGACACGTAGGTGCATGCATCCAATTTGTGTCAGCCAGGTCAAAACGACTAGACTGTGCTACTCACGTGCCAACAGAGGGTGCGACTACTTTGAGGTTAAGTGCTCTCCTTCGTCCCGGCTCAACAATTGACACAGTAACTTCCTTAACACTGGCTTTCCTACCTTTTTCAGTTCGTCGATTCTATTAGAGCCGGCTAACTCGTTCTCCGATCGTAACTGCGCTTCGATCGTCGAGCACAATGCGAAAGGTTAACCATTTCTGGCTAATATTTGCCCTCTTTTTACCCTATTCCCTCGTTCCCGTGGAGCAAAATATATACCGGGCAAGCGAGCGACTATTTTGAGGCTAGACCTGGTCAAAAGTGAGGTTAGGTCCAAACAGTAATAATTTATTCGATCTACTTGTGCTCTGATATCAGTAAACTTGGATCCCAAGTATCATACTCGAAAAATAAGAAAGGAAGGATGTTCTCTTCTCTTAAAATATTTTTATAAACATAAAAATAGGAAATACTCTTCTCCTGTCCTCGGTTCCCTATCGGTGGATTTATATTTCGTTTGAAAAAGAAAATCTAATATTACCGTGAAAATAAACGAGTGATGGAAAGCAGAACAGAGGCATAAAGGATTTTACACTCCGTTCTGTTTGTGCATTGCTCGGACGCCACGGTGTTAGGGTTCGCTTTGAATCGCGAATGGAACGAGAGGAATGAAATTACGTGTGATCCCTACCTATTGTTCCCATGTGAAAAGGCGACGATCGTCCCGGAATTGGCCTCCTCTTGTCGCAGAGCGGCTGCTATAGTGAATTCCGGAACCCGCCGGAGTAGCGTGGCCGCTCGTTCGAAGCTCGCCTCGTTCAGTCGGAGCTCCCTCTCCTCGCCTGAAGTAGTAAAAGTCAATCATTCCTGCGACCCACTCCGCCATTTCATAATATCTCTGCTAATAACAGCAGCAATGTATTCCATTTCAAAAAGATATTGCAACACTCGAATAAAGGATACCGGAAGAACTATAATTTCGTTTCACTCGCCCTATGATGATCATGTTTCGTCATAGATTAGGTTAGGTTAGATTAGCGGTGATTTAATTTTGGCAAATGTGAGAATGGAAATCATGGGAATGGGAATGACTAATTTTAGTCATTCGGAGGGTTTAACGAATGACGGTAATAGTGTACGTTTAGGTTAATTCGAGTAGCGGTGGCCATTGCTACTGTGCTGCCCTCTATGCGGAGTTTTATAGATGGCAGCGCAGTGGACAGATCACTAAAGTTCCGTAGAAACGATCCATTGTAGAAGCCCAACAGGGTTTGGTAGAAGTTTGAGAACATTGTTGGGCTCGACGACAAAAGACTCGGCAGATTTCGCATGTAGGTCAACCGAAATTTTTGGTGGGTCGCATCGATTTGCCCGATTCACGGTTCCTGCTCGTACAGCTACGTAATCCCGGCGACATGAAAATTCGATTGGTCGCAGTTATCGGTTCCATTACGCCCATGAAGTTGCTCGCCAATTTTCCGAGCCTTTGCGCAATTTAGATATATTCGCAAATCCGCAAACGATCGCGACGTTTAATTTCTAGGTTAGGTTTAACACGGTTCGGCTTGGAATATCTAATCCAGGGGTTTATCATTTTCTAATACTTCTCCCGGGTTTCCATTTATGTAGGAAACAACAAATTAACCGATACCGCTTCGACACTTGCGTGCATTAACTTCGCTAGAGTGGTACTGCAGTCGCGCCATCTAGCTACGCCGCCTGTAACGAGACACCCCTAGCGCCGCACGATGCCCCATTAGCTCGGATAAGGCACATGCGATAAAGTTTCTCTGGAAGCGCCATAACGCGCGGTTCACGTGCAAAATTGATCCTTCGTCCTTCGATTAAGCGTACTAGCGGGATTAATTGTTCGCGTGGGCCGCGCCAGCGGACCGTGTAATCCGTCGGGGCCCGCTGCAATTGCGGACCGGCTTGAGAAGCGTGTGCATCGCCGCGCATGCGCCAGGCTTCCCGCGTGGGCCTCGAGTTTCAGACGCGGTGTACGAGGCTTAATAAAAAGTAACCGGACACCAAGGGCTGTAATGCGTAGTCGAGGACCATCGAACTTTATACCGTGTTCAATTATCCACGTCCACACTTCGTTAACGAGTAAATGCACGTAACAGACCCCTTCGACCCGTACGTAATCGTTCTACGCCAACTGGTACACGTATCGATGACTCCTAGTTGGTGGTACTGAACCGATGTTTAAGTAAAGGCAAAGATAGTACGCTTAGGGAGCCTGATTTGAGGTTATGAATGCGGAGCTTGGTCTGAGAGGTTATGTTCACCTACGAATATATAACTCGTTCGAAGGTTGGGATAATATGACTGAAAAGTTAGGTTAGGTTTGTTCATAAGAAGATGGAAGTTTGATTTATGGAGTAACCATTACTGTGCACAATGTTAATTCTATTTTATAGAATATCCTAGCTTTATATCCTACACGCAAGTTATCATACACCTTCTTTTTCATACCTTAATTCGTTAAATAATAATTCTGGCCACAGCATGAAGTCTACGATACCTAGTAAGGATACTCAAACTGAGAAATATTAAACTAACCTCAAATACTAACCCATCGAAATTCATTCCGCATGGAACGCCATCTATGAGCAGAAAACTCGATGAGAATTCCCAACATATACCAGAGCAGGAGACAGAACGAATTAATCATGGAACTGCGTACACTCGAAATCAGCATCGCAGAAGAACGATCAAAGGGGGAATCCCAGGCCGGTGGCAAACATTAATTTAGCATCTGCGAAGATGGTCGGCGAGAAAGTTATTCGCTTCGGAAATAAACAGCATATAGATTAGATCGGGCGTCCCCACTGAAGGGAGAGACATGGGGTCGGACAATTTTAGGACCAGAGTGGTCTGGGTTCCCCATCGGACTACAAAAGGGGATCGCGAAATCTTGTTTTCCATGTTCAGAGAAAACTCTGACACGTGTCTGCGAATATCGTTCGCGTCCTTTGTTCGGTGATTACAATGGCCTTCCAATTCGAACTGAATAAACCGAGTTTCAGGGATGCTTCTTCCTCTTCCTCCACCGACTGTCCGAAAGGATATTTATCGAGGGTGAACACGTGACGAGGAAAATAAGACCGGGACCAAGTGAACGGACACGTGTGCAGAGGTTAATGGAAAAATAATAAAGCATCCACGCGGAACATATTTTTGCAAACCATCGCCCGTGATTAACTACCCACGTTTGCATGAACAACCTAACCTCGCGAATAACGATATACTCCACCATAGTTCCATGGATAAATTACTTCGTATCTTCAAACTTTTATCCAGCTTTCTAACCAATAGATAAATTAAATTAACGAACAAAATATACTTTGTTAAAATTTCAATGTGTCAGATATTCCCTGAAAAGCATAGAATTAGATACCTAATTAATTCGAGGAAGATAATAAATTGATTTCTTCTTTCTCGAACCTAACCTCAATCTAACCTCAGTTACTCAACCTAGAGTTGACTATCATGGTGAAACATTTTCAATGTTTAAGATTTAAAATTTCAATATGTCAGATTTTCCCTGAAAAGCATAGAATTAGATAACTAATTAATTCGAGGAAGATAATAAATTGATTTCTTCTTTCTCGAACCTAACCTCAATCTAACCTCAGTTACTCAACCCAGAGTTGATTACCATGGCGAAACATTTTCAATATTTAAAATTTAAAATTTCAATATGTCAGATCTTTCCTAAAAAGCATAGAATTAGATACCTAATTAATTCGAGGTAGATAATAAATTGATTTCTTCTTTCTCGAACCTAACCTCAATCTAACCTCAAATACCCAACGCAGAGTTAACTATCATGGCGGAACATTTTCGACTGAAGCTGAGGGATGAAATAATTCGTGGTTCTTAAAGATCCTGCATCTGTAGTACTGAATTCATAAACCACCCCAGTGAACCACCCCAGAACCTTAAAAATGGCTATCGCAGCTAGTGTGCCAAAAACTCACGCTACCCTAGGGACATTTCACTCGAACAACAGCAGTGATTTCAGCTCGTAAAGACTTCTTCAGAAGACACAGAAGCGACCGAGAACGGGGCTGCAAGGGGTTGCAGTGACGAAGGAAAACGTTAGAGAGAAAAAAGGAAACAAAGAGAGGGAGAGAGAGAGGGGGGAGAGAGACTTCCCTTCAGTTCGAGGTTGCAAACCGCAGAGAACGTTCGGTTACTTCCGCGAAACCATCGACAGAGGGTGCAGGCCGGGCCGGTAATTGAAATTTCTTTCGGGGAAACCCCTGCTGACGCCCTTGGGCCAACCACCCCCGTTCTGCTCGCTTTTCGCGGACGTTGCACCGTCGCCCACGCTTTTAGCCACGGCTGTGTGCACGTTTCTCTGGCGTCGATCGTCCGTGGGAAGGGGAGGGTGTAGCATTTATTCGCTATACAGGGTGTCACTAAATACACGATTTTTTACCACACATCGAACAGGTCGTAAGTATTTATCGAATACCATTTATCTGAATTTTTCTATTCATTCACTGTATAATTAATTACGGTTATTTAATTTCGTATTTCTATTTGCACGTTCCTTTTTTATGAAATTTATTCTTTTTATATTTAGGGGCACACTATTGTTTCTAAATTTTTCTATTCATTTCCTTTATAATTAATTACGGTTATTTAATTTTGTATTTCTATTTTCATATTCCTCTTTTATGAAATTTATTCTTTTTATATTTAGGGGCACGCTAATGTTTCTGAATTTGTCTATTTATTCACTTTGTAATTAATTACGATCATTTAATTTTATATTTCTGTTTGCATATTCCTCTTTTATGAAATTTATTCCTTTTATACTTAGGGGTAGACTAATGTTATATCAATTTCGTTTTTTATTGTTTGATTTAATATCGTGAAAAGTATTTTTACCTGTTATTTAATTTTGCATTCCTATTTGCATGTATATATATTTTTTTTTATTAAATTTATTTTTCATGCATTTAGGAATAGTCTAATGTCATATTAATTTCCTTTTTTTTAGTTCTTTGCTTTAATGTTGCAAAAAGAATTTTTATTTGTGGTATATGAACTATAATTAGTTGTTTCACGAGTATCGATATTTTTTGAAATAATAAAAGGTAATTAAAAAATTGTGACAGTAATTGATTAACATTAGAACTATGGAAGAAGTTAAAATGACTTATTTTGGACTTATTTTTACAGGTTCTGAATTTTTATTGAAATAGGAACGTTATTTTGCATACTTTTTCATTTTCATTGTGTCATTTTCATTATTATCATCTATCTGTATTATTTTTCAAAATTCTCAAATTTGACGTACGTTCTAATTAATTGTGATGATTTCTAAACGTGTAGTTGTCAAAATAACGTAAGGAAGAATTGCTCGACACTTGGTATATAATTAAATTGAACCGAAAATGCCGCGAAAATGCCGGGTCAAAAGGTTCGAAACTCGAAAGGACAATCGATACTCGCAGGCCACGAGGGAATTCCCTCTAGAGGTCTGCCAATGGAGACGACGCGGCTATGAAACTGTCCTTTCACAATATCGATTAATCGGTCGTTATGTAACCATCACGGCTCAACTGATCAGCGCCAATTGTTTTTCCACTTGGTCACTCACTGTGACGATTTATTCCGCTGCAAGCAATTAAAACGCTTTTTCGAGAGCCATTGAGAAAATTTCACACACAAGAAGACTTCACTGACGAGTAAAATTTAAACAAAAGGCAAAATCTGTGCAATTTAATGCCTACTGCGAATCTTTAATCTATACTTTCCGTGAATCTATCCATTCGCTATACATAACCTCAAAGATAACACGGTCACGCCCTCTACTACGCCTGATCATACGTTATATTTCAGAGAATCATTTCAATTAGTATTCTGCTTCGTTCCTAAGTATACATCATCCTCAGTTTTAATACTTTTCCATTCTATCCCCTACAATTAAAAATAATATATATGTATTTAAATTATAGCAACCTTTTGAGGCCACTGAACGAAGATTATTAAGGTTAGAAATAGGGTTAGGACTAAAATTCATATTAATTTCCTTTTTTTTAGTTCTTTGCTTTAATGTTGCAAAAAGAATTTTTATTTGTGGTATATGAACTATAATTAGTTGTTTCACGAGTATCGATATTTTTTGAAATAATAAAAGGTAATTAAAAAATTGTGACAGTAATTGATTAACATTAGAACTATGGAAGAAGTTAAAATGACTTATTTTGGACTTATTTTTACAGGTTCTGAATTTTTATTGAAATAGGAACGTTATTTTGCATACTTTTTCATTTTCATTGTGTCATTTTCATTATTATCATCTATCTGTATTATTTTTCAAAATTCTCAAATTTGACGTACGTTCTAATTAATTGTGATGATTTCTAAACGTGTAGTTGTCAAAATAACGTAAGGAAGAATTGCTCGACACTTGGTATATAATTAAATTGAACCGAAAATGCCGCGAAAATGCCGGGTCAAAAGGTTCGAAACTCGAAAGGACAATCGATACTCGCAGGCCACGAGGGAATTCCCTCTAGAGGTCTGCCAATGGAGACGACGCGGCTATGAAACTGTCCTTTCACAATATCGATTAATCGGTCGTTATGTAACCATCACGGCTCAACTGATCAGCGCCAATTGTTTTTCCACTTGGTCACTCACTGTGACGATTTATTCCGCTGCAAGCAATTAAAACGCTTTTTCGAGAGCCATTGAGAAAATTTCACACACAAGAAGACTTCACTGACGAGTAAAATTTAAACAAAAGGCAAAATCTGTGCAATTTAATGCCTACTGCGAATCTTTAATCTATACTTTCCGTGAATCTATCCATTCGCTATACATAACCTCAAAGATAACACGGTCACGCCCTCTACTACGCCTGATCATACGTTATATTTCAGAGAATCATTTCAATTAGTATTCTGCTTCGTTCCTAAGTATACATCATCCTCAGTTTTAATACTTTTCCATTCTATCCCCTACAATTAAAAATAATATATATGTATTTAAATTATAGCAACCTTTTGAGGCCACTGAACGAAGATTATTAAGGTTAGAAATAGGGTTAGGACTAAAATCTCTAAAATCTATTTTCCCTGTTGTCATTTAATTAATTATTAATTAAAATTATTACTTAATATGTGCTACATTAAATATACGCAACACTTATTGTATATTATATATTATTTTTAGTATATTCGTGACGCTAACCACCTCCAAATATAATTTTCCTTGAGACTGTAAAACGTGCCCGTATTTCCAATGCCGGATACGGAAAACAAGGCAAGTGGCACGCGATACACAAAAAGCAATAATCGACTTTACAACCCGCGATGATTACCGGTCGCAAAACGCCACAGGAAGATAGCTGGCGGTCGAAACGACCCTCCGATATGCAAACAGGGCTGTATTCGGGTTAAGGGAACCCCCCACAGGAACGGGTTTCGGTTCCTGGGCTACTCGTGAAATTTACTGCTCCCCGTGCAATCTGCACGCAATACCGTACCCCGGTGTAAATTGCACGAAATGATTTACGCCCGCTTTACCCACGTTTAGGTTGGCCTTTTGGGCAACATTGCGACAGGTCGTCGAATTTTTTCGTCGAGGTTAGGTTTCCGAGGGTCAGCGTCGAAATTATATCGAAAGGGACGAGATACACTTCGCATTCTCTTTGCCGAGTCGAGTACATCCCTTTTTCCGTGAGTCAGCGTGAAATGGAGCAAGCACGAGATTGACTTTTGAGGTTAGGATTTACCTGTACTTAACCTCTCGACGTCGAGTGACTTTCTGACATGCTATGTACTTTCCATGTCAATGCACAAGGAGAAACACATTCTCGCGTAGTTCCTAACCTCTTATTTTCTTTTACCAACGTGTATTTAAAAATTCAAATAGATTCATGTAGCATTTACGTACTATATAATTATATAAATATAACTTCTCGTAATCTATTATACTTATATATATTTATAGTCTTCTATAGTTTCCTCAAATTGTAATGTCGCGTTAAAAAATGACTTCGAAGGTCTAGGGGAAGAATTATTGCGGTTGTTAGGTTAGGTTATGCCTAACTGAGTTCCGCGCATGCGTCAAATCTGGTTCAAGTTTACGATCGAGTGTGAGTCAAGTTTAAATTAATCAGGAAATTTCGAATTTTTATTTCGTTGGAAGGAAGTTAGGTTAAGTTTAATCACAATTGTATCGTTGTCCTAGGAATTGTCATCGATAGCAAAATTTGCACAGAAGCAACGCTTACCCTGAAGATAATAGGCTGGCTTTAACCTAACCAGTCCTGGCACCTGTGTAACACCCTGCCGCGTTGTGTTGTGCAGCTGTAACGCTGCCAAGAGGTCTATGCCTCCACCAGGATCGCTGCCTGTCCTGGATCTCGTGCCCAAGACACCGGTGCTCTCCTCTGTTACGCCAACAGTGGCCACCGCCGTCTCTTCCTCTTTTTTGTTTGTCGTGCCAGACACTGTAAAACAAACCGAAACATCGTTCGTTAAACGTTTCCCAACACTCCACAAAGGCAAGTCATAACATGAAATTGATTTATGAACGAATTCATCGCTCTTGGCCACGTGATTGTATACACGACGAATCGAACGTTTGTAACCTGTTTATAGAGCCACTGACAAATGGGACTTGGGCTTTGAGCGGGATTTTTGATGAACATCGTATGTCCAGGACTGTTTGCCAAGGGGTTTATAAATCGTGACGGTAGTTAAAAAGGTAGTTCGTAATTTCCCCGAAAAAGAACTCGGCAATTTTTCAAGACGTAAAGAGAAGCTTCTTTATGACCCAAGAAATTTAAAATACCGATTTCTTAGGAAGAACATTAACTTCGAAAATTAGAAAAGAGACTACTGAATGCAGAGATCATAAAAGACTAGTTCCAACGGAAATCACAATTAACAGCTTTGAAAACTCTGAAAAGAAATATCGAATTATTTTAAGACCCCATAAGACCAAGTTCTTTTCAAGTTGACAGCTTCAAAATTAATTTGGGAAATTAAAAAAGAGACTACGAAATACAAAAATCATAAAAGACTAGTTCTAACGGAAAGAAAACTCAGTTCCAACGGAAATCACAATTAACAGCTTTGAAAACTCTGAAAAGAAATATCGAATTATTTTAAAACCCCGTAAGACCAAGTTCCTTTCAAGTCGACAGTTTCAAAATTAATTTGGGAAATTAAAGAAGAGACTACGAAATACAAAAATCATAAAAGACTAGTTCTAACGGAAAGAAAGTCCAGTTCCAACGGAAATCACAATTAACAACTTAGAAACTCTAAAAGGGACTATCGAATAATTTCAAGACCCATTGAGACCAAGTTCCTGTCAAGATGACAGCTTTACAAACCGCATAAAAAAATGTAAACCATTCGAGAAACCATAAAAATACTACTGTATCCCATAGAAAAGAATAACTCTTCCAAAAATTTCTCGAACCTCGCGATTAAAACGAATTCCCACGGAAATCCTCGAAAACAAACCGAAATGAAACGCCCTGTACAACAAGAACACTAACCCCGTGCAACAACCTCTGGTCTGATCGAGCGAGAAAACCTTCGTCGGGAAAAAATGGCCCGTCAGCCACCTGCCAGAACTTTCAATTCCCCAAACGAGCCACTCGTGCTGCCCTCTGGCGGTCGGTCATCAAAAGAAGACACTTTTATTAGCGCGGTCAACTGCTGTCGTCCATCGTCGGGGATGGCCCGTTGTCGGTGGACTGGGTAAAAAGGATATTGGCAGGTCCGCCAAAATACCGGGAGAAAAAAGACCCAAACTGTAGAAGCTTTTTTCACGGGGAGCGATTCTCTATCGTCGTTACTCGAAATGGATTTTTCATACAAAGCTGGAGCAAAACGGTCCAGTCGGGATGTTTACGAGGAACTGGGAAGGGACGAGGGACGGGTGGTGCAAAAGATAGAGGTGGAAGAGATGAGTTTGGCGAGAGGAATCGAGGATGGGGTTGAAAGAAACGAGGAAAAGCGTGGAAACACCAATAACGAGCGACGACCGTGAAGAGTCGATCGATACCAGCACGCTACTTCGAGAGGGTTAGCTCGCTGTCTCTTTTCCCTATCCTTCCCTTATCTCTCGCTTATTCCGTTCGATCGGTTCCCTTCTCCTTCTAGGTCTCTGTCCCTTTACCATTCTCTCGCCTCGAGGATGGATGCTCCTCCAACAGCTCTTAACATTATTCAGGGGACAGAGAGTGGAAATACGCCATTGAACTTTATTGCTGTTCGAGTGGAGGCTTCGCGAACTGGTCGGGGAAGGGTTGTGGGCAAGCCGAATGTTCAGTAGTTTTATAAGCAACGAGAAATGGACCATTTAAGAAGAACCGCAGTTATCGCAATCTTAGGTATCGTTAGATAGTACAGTGTACTAACTTTGAGGCAGACTCGATGAAACTTTAGCGGAATGTCTCTTTCGGTTTATTCCGTAGTCTGAGTCTTCTGGGGGAGAGCTGAGAATGATACCAGTCGGAGACAGCGGTAATTTGGGGCCATAAAGACGCGGATGATGGGTATCGATGGGTATTCCAGAGAGAATTTTCCAGAAAGAAAGTTTGATGTCGAGGGAGTCTATATCGACGATGCTTCGAGCCATCTATCTGATAAATAGCGAAGGTACGCCCGGAAGGTCGGCGCCACATGGGTTATAGCTTGCCAGGCTAACCTATCTCGACCACCGTTTATCCAAGTAAGTTGATGAAACTGAGAATGAAATTATTCGAAGTTGCATTGAGTTTTATGTCCAGCCGTCTTTCCGTTCTTATCTGGAATTATTTCTGCATTGCTCGCGTTGCAGTTCTGGGCAACTTAATATCGCTTCGTGTCAACAACCGGAAGAAATCTCGGGTATGATGTAATGAGGAATTTGAGGTTAGGGGAAAGCGAGAAATATCGAGATCTGGAAGCAATTTAAAAATGTAATAGAAAATTTGTGAGTAGAGGAAAGCATAATCCACGTAATCCAGAAATTACACCAATCTACAATATTATCCATTCTCCGTATCCTAACCTCAAAAATTGTCAAGTATATTGCTTGATATAAACAACTACGAGAAATTTAGCACAGAATGTAATAGTAATCTTGAGAATAGTAACGAACACGAAATCTAGAAGAAATTTAAGAATATAATAAAAAATTTGAGGTTAGAAGAAAGCTCAGTCTCCGTATTCTAACCTCAGAAATTGTCAAATATATTGTTCGATACAAACAGCTACGAGAAATTTCACACGGGGCGTAATAGTATAATAATTTCAAGAATAGTAACGAACTATAAATATCGAAATTAATTAGGAGAATTGAAAATAATTCGAAAATTCCTTCCCGTCTGCAGCAGGCGTGTTTGAAGAAATACGAGCTAGGCTGATATCCCATCTTCGCATTCCAACCTCAAAAACTGTCAAGTGCTTCCTAACCTCTCCACTAACGACAATCCAAGAAGAAAAAGGCACAAAGAGACGAAGAAGCGAGCTACTTAAAAATTCCGACTCGAATTCTAAAGACTTGTTCGCTAATTGACTGGGGGTTCAGTGACGAATCAACGGGGCCATTGAAGAGCTGCGAGGAACGAGACTAACAAAACGTAAACAGCGTCGCGAACGCTTCTAAAACGGTCCGTGAATCGGTTGCTCGCCGGATGATCTTTTTTAATTGCGTAACGAGCAGCGGAAAAGAGACGCCGTGGAAAATCCCGTTTTCCTTTCATCCGCCGGGGAACAATCAGAGGATTTTGCGCGCGGGACACTGCCGCGGACATTAATCGGGGCAAATCGTCCGGTAAATTAATGGCGCTGCTGGTACGCCTGTATTCGCGGCTAAAAGCGGCCTGTTCCGCCAAACGCATGCCTACTGCATCTTTGATCCATTGGCGTAGCCTTTTTGCCTGGATCTCCTTAGGCTAAAAGTCTCTTTGACTCGCGATTCCCTGACTGATTTCAACGAGATCCTCCCATAAAAATCGGAGACTCCATTTTCTCGCATATCTCCCTTTAATCCAGGATTAAAACGTTCGTCTTCATTTTACGATTAGAACCTACTAAAAATAGAGGAAGAACGATGAAAACTCCGCACATAGTACAGGTTATGGATCGCCTTGAAATACGACAAGGTAGAAGTCGATATACGTGTTAATAGACAAACCAGTTCGCAACTTCGCCGCCAGAGGGCCAGCGTCGCGAAGCAATTCTCGCAAGAGACCAAGTCTGATCTTCGCTGTTCTGAAGATGGTTTAATCGGATCCAGCGATTACTTGCAGGCACTCGAGCCTCCATAACCTCACTCCTGGTCCATCTAGCAACAGACTGGAACCGGGAACAAAAGGGAATAACTCGGGACAGCCGTAGCCGAGCGTGCCGTGTAACGACCCCGGCGTATAACCTCCAAAGCTGCTGGTTTCCCTCGCATCCGTGGCAGGGCGCATAAAGTCGTCGCAAAGAGCGCGGAGAGAACGGGAAAGTGGTGCAAGCCCCATCGATTCGTCGTGCCAGTCGCAAAGGGTTAACGAACCGGGCGAATTTCTGCGAGGCGGCGCCTATGCTCATCTAAGAGCGACGCTTTCTTGCGTCCGAAAACACGCGCCGTGGTGTGTGTCTGTGCGCCCCTGCCGGCGCGTGTGCGCCCGTGCATATGAACGTGTGCGTGGTAGTCCGACGCCGAACGAAACAGGATGGAATGGAACGACGGTGGCAGACTGCCGGGCGTCGCGACGCCCGCTATCGAACCGTACGCGGCATTATCGTCCGCTCCGAGCGAAAGAGACGGGACGAGAGAGCAGGGCGGAGCACGAGGATGTGCACGGCTCGTAAAACGCGACTCCCACACGCGCGCGTGCACACATTCGCGAGTGTCTCGATACCGGTGATGATGATTAACGAGCCTGGCCACACGGATTCCTTCGATATTTACGACTGCACCTTACTCGAGACGCCTCGACTTCCGTGTGAAGATCGACTTCGGCTTGGGAATGATTGGTGGTGCTGGTGTCAAGTTCAGTGTGCGCTGATGAGCCTGAATGGGCGTCCGTGGGTCGTGTGTCGTTTCGTTTCACCGCTACTCTCCGCTCTATGCAGATCTTTCGTCCTTTTTCGGGTGGGAGGAGGGGTTTCCAGCGTTCGAGGAAAGATCGTTTAACGGTCCGCGTCCCTGTGTCGTCTGCTTGAGTAGATGTCGCTGCGGATGTTAACGGCCGTGTCAGTATCAGGACTTTTTGCAGATGTCAGGTAGAGGAGTGTTGGATGGTCTGATGGTTAAGGATTGGCTGGTTAGCAAGGCCTTTTTTTCCTTGTCGTTGGTAGAACGAGTAGCGGTAGAGTTAGATTCAATGGGTGCTGATGAAGTGGTACGAGGGTCGTATATTATTTTGGCCAAGTGGTACTTCTGTTTCGCGGTACTTTTGTAGCCGTCGACAGGCTAGTTGAAATTTTATCTGCAGGAATTTTTACGGCTATGGCT